CTTGTGATGCAAGGTCGAAATGAGAAACATTTTGTTCTAAAAATTATTAATTTAGTGTTAAGTATTTTCTAAGTAGCACAAAACAGTTGGACAACTGTCAGAAATTTCCAATAAAAATTGCACCGACTTGCAAACAAACACATGCATAAATTTTAACGGTTCAGATATGTATCATGCTTTCTTGTGCATGTAAGAAATTGCGAAAAATCACACAATACAATCAGCACACACGATCACACACACACAGACATACACACATGCAAGCACACCATCATATACACTTTCACGCGTACACGAATACATTCAAGCGAGAATAATTAACATATTAACATATTAACCACACACACACACACACACACACACACACACACACACACACACACATGCATACGCAAGTACACATGTGCAAAATGCATTTACACATAAAAAACACAAACTACATGCGCATTAAAGTATTGTAAAGTTAGTTTTTTGGCAGGGTGCAAATAATTTCATTCTATTCTGATACCACAACGAATTATATATTTTAAAATTAATGAACATTTAAAACAATCAAATTAAAATCAAGTATAAAAAGTACGCGACCAAACACACGCACACGCACACACACGCACACACACCCATACACACACGCACACACACACACAAATCACTCGCACACATGCACAGATGTCCACGTACACGCACATTTACACACAATTTTATGCACACATACACGCAATTATACTTACACACACGCGCGCGCACACACGCGCGCGCACATATATACACACACACACAGACATACACATACACACGCATAAACACATACATAAACACACACACGCATAAACACATACATAAACACACAGACACACACATGCACACGCACGCACACACCAGAGAGTCGAATGAATGGAGACAACAAGCGCACGCGCACATCCTACACGCGACATCAGACGCTGGAACTGGAGAAGGAGTTTCACTTCAATAGGTCGGTGATCGTGGTAATGATTGCAATGGTTCTGCTGCTGCTGATGATGATGACTGTGGTGGCTGTGGTGGTGCTGCTGCTGCTGATGATGATAACTGTGGCGGTTGTGGTGATGATGATGATTGTGGTGGTTGTGATGATGATGGCTGACGATTGCGGTAATGATAAAGAAGATGATAGTGATGGTTGTGTTGATGATGATTACATGCACACACCACACACATACATACGCACACACACACACACACTCACACACACACGCACACATATTTTTAGGTATCTTAACAGAAGACGTCGAATCGAGATAGCCCACAACTTAATTCTTAGCGAAAGACAGGTATTTAGGATTTGTCGTCGTCGTTGTTGTTTATGTTGTTGTTGCTGTTGTTTATGTTTGTGTTGTTGATTTTGTTGTTGATGCTGTTGTTGATGTTGCTGTTGTTGTTTGTGTTGTTGTTGATGTTGTTGTTGATGTTGTAGTTATTTTTGTTGTTGATGTTATAGTTGTTGTAGTTGTTGATGTTGTAGTAGTTGTTGTTGTTGTTCATGATGTTGTTGCTTATGTCAGTACTTCTCAAAGCGGTAGTTTCGGCCCGGTTCCGAAGATTTTGAAAATTAACGAGAAAATTCATGGCTTGGCGAGCAAGCAAGGCAATTGAAAAGTTTTTATTGTTACTAGTAGATGAGTTTGAAGGCAAAGCAACTCACG